ATGGAAATCGAAGCGTCGGATGCCCCCCCGGCCATGACGTGTCGCAGGCTTCGCCGCCACACTTACGGCGAGGCCGACGTGCCCGCCCGAGCATCAGTGGTTTACCTCCATGCCAAGTCCGGTACATATCTTGAGGAAATCTAGGTAGACGGGGTTTCAATCCACCGTCGGCCTGAGGTTCCTCGAGATAGGTGGCGCACCTCCCACGGGCGACAACCACTGATGCTCGGTGGCCTCGCCGTAAGTGTGGCTGCGATGTCTGCGACGCGTCATGGCCGAGGGGTCATCCGGCGCTTCGTCTTCGAAATTTATCCTGACTATGGTGCAAATGATTGCATCCAGTTGAGCTCCCCCATGGTCTTAGTATCCGCCCATGATAACCAACCATACTAGCACATGACAACAACATGCTTCAAGGCTTACGGCGAGGGTCAACGACCTAGAAGAGAAGAGGAGCTGGAACCAGCCGGTCATGTCTGGAACTGGCCGGTCGTGTCTCCAGAGGAGAGCGTGTTCTGTACTCGTATTGTTTGGCAGCAGGGCAAAACTGATGCACATGCTCCTGTGCCCCGGTGAGACTAAGAAAGGGGGAATCGGTATCTCGATCGGTCGTATGCTACAACTGCGCGAGTGAAAGGGATAGCCATTCTGCAGAGGTAAACGAAACACCCACCCTCCGGCGTTCCTTCTTTCGGAAGTGCAAACCCCTTCGCCTTCACAGCAATGTCGCAGGCCTTCTTTGACGCTTGCAGCAGACTTGTCAGCCCTGCGCAGGGGGCTAGCCATGGATCCGACGCCGACTTACACGCCTGTACACAGGTAGGTGGGTCGTTCCGGAAATCGGGTTATATATGCATCGCTGACAATACCGCGAACGAAAAAAAGGGAAAAAGGGTTGGCCAGCAAATGCATTTAGGCAGGCCATTCGCGTCATTGATACACAGTTTGTTGCACCGCAAGAACGAAATTGCGATGCGTTATTGTTCTTTGAAAAACATCGCTAAGCTGTAAGCAATAAAATATCTTTTTGTCCGTGTCATCCAATGGTATACCCGTCCGTCGTAGTTTCTACAGTAGCGATCCTGCCACCTTATCTGTCCCTCTATTTGCAAGGGAAACGCTCCTCACCTACTCAAAAAAGTACCGCTGAATACCGCACCTTTGCGTGACCCCCAACCTGTGCCCGCACTACAGTACGTCACCCGATCTGCTCTCGCCTCTCACTCTACATGCGTGTATTGGGGTCGGGTGAGCACTAGGTGTAGAGGTGAGTTGAGGTGACTTGCTTGCAGCCGTGCCGTGTCGTTCTCACCCCTATCTGTGCGTTCAAGCTCTCGACCAGCCCCCCCACCACGTCCCCCAGCCCGCCTTGAGCATCTAACTCCGCCATCAGAGGCGCCAAGAAGCCTATCGTAAAAATTGTCCGTGTTGTATTTCGAGTTACGGAGTCGGTCCGATTTTTTCGGAAAGGTAACGCCAGAGGAAGGGAAAAAAAAGGGACAAAAACAAGGGGGGGGGTAAGAACGGGGTGCCGGTGTCAACAAAAGAAGTGGGGGGGTGGGGTCGCCGTGCGGCGGAACCCCCAAATTCATCGCTGATTTTCACAAAATCAGTCAGAAATCAATGCATACCCTAGGTTCACCTTTGGGTCGGAAAACACCTCGACAAATGATGCACGGCTGGGCGAGGTTTTGCGTCTCCGTCGCCCCCCCCCCCCCTTCTCACCGACGAAGTACGCATCACACGCACGTATCGTAGGGGGCGGCATCGTTTGTATCTCTGCCACCTACCCACTTTCGATCCATAAGGCGCACATGCCAAACACGCACGGTAAACAATTGCCTCTGGTTTCACGCGAAAGGTGCCCCTGTCTAATCGACCACTGCTGCTTGCAACTGCGGAATACCAAGCCCAATCGAAACAGGCGCTCCAATCGATACGATTATGAGCTAGACCCAGCAGGCCACGTTTGTTGCTGGCTTTCTCGCAAATCCCGGTAGCTCATCTAGCATGGCAGTCTTGCCCCTAGCGGCAAAGCTGCTGGAAGGGCCCCCGCCGAATGAAACAGAAACCAAGAGAGGAAAGGGGTCGGCCCATGCGACACGAATACCTGTTGTTGAACGTGAACACGCACACAACTCGACTCAACTCACTCAACTGCAATGAAACTGGCGTATTTTCATTGGTCAACCGACTAGCGCGGTCGATGCTAGCGCACACACAACAATAGCACACCTGGGGGCAGGCCTTTGTCTGGATCCTCTGCCGTAAGCATCTTCAGCAGCAAGGCAGGAGAGTCGGCTTCCGGTTCGTCGAAAATCCCAGGCTGCGCGCACGGTACGGGCAGAGCGCCCGACGGGGGGGGAGGGGGGGGGGGGGGGGGGGGGTACTCATAGTCGTGCATGTCGTAGTCGTTAGACCATTGACCTCGCATCCCTACAAAGCCGGGACGGAGCACGCCGGGTTCTCACCGGACCAGGCTCTCACATCACCAAGCGCGAAGCGCCGTGAGATATTCGGCGAGTCGCATGAAGGGTGCGCTGCATCCTGCTAAGGGTGTTCGGCATCTTGTGCTTACTTCCTTGCGTACGGATGACAGCTGCGTATGAATTAATTTATTTTCTGGTGCTTTCACTTCCAGAGACAGTTGTAAGCACTGTGTAACTGCCTCGAGGGTGCTTGACCATTTTAACACAACGTGGTGCGATCATCCCCCTTGCGCGGAGTGAGGGTTCTCCACCCCGCACAACATGATCTACTCGACCACCATTATGGTTACCGCCAAAAAAAAATCCGGAGGTAAAAAATCAAACGGTAACCTGGTTGCCGAGTTCACGAAGTGAATTGGCTTGTTTTACAACGTCGTTGCCAAGCGACGAAACCCAATCCCGATGGCAAACACCGGGGGCGGCGGCTTGTTTTACAACGTCGTTGCCAAGCGACGAAAACCCAACCCCGATGGCAAACACCGGGGGGGGGGAATACTCATATTTTGCAGGTCTTAGCGGTTGGATCGTTGGGGGGGTGGGGGGGGGGTTGGCCTCCGGTGGCGCTTCCAGCGGGGTCCCCTCGCGGGGTACTCTTGTTGTGTGCGGTGCACTCAATCAAATGAGAAAAATCACAGTCAACAAGCACACAAGATGACACCAAAAATTCGGGGGAAATGAAAAATCCTCGCATCCAGTGCGTTGCCATCATGGAGCTCGTGAAGACTTTCAGGGACCCCAACAAGCGGAAAGTCACCGAGCCAAAGTACAAGCAGGCCATGAAACTCTTCCCTCGAAGGATACGGTTAGCGAAGAGTTGCAAGGTCCTATAAGTGTTAATGTATGGCGTCGCTCCGCTTCTTTGGGGTCTGAAAGTCTTCACAGGCCCCATGGTGGCAACGCGCTGGATGTGGAGGCTCCACTTTTGCACGCCACTGGTGAAATGGCGTTTTACCTCTCATGTGCGTGTGTGTGTTTTGAACGTGTTTGTGTACTCTTCCACTTATTGTATTTTTGTTATTGGGGACGACATGTCACGCGACACGAACTTCACCATCAACTTTTTTCTTTAAATTCTGAATATTGCCGGGTGGCGGGCTGTTCTTGTGAACTTGGTTCGCCCTTACAGCAGCACCACGTCCCCTCGTCCCCCCCTCCCCCCCCCC